CCCCCCCCCCCCCCCCCCCTACATGGACACTAACCTGGTCGTATTGGGTGAATCGCCACAGCAGCAGGCCGTTGGGTACCATCGACGACACCACAAACATGTAGGAAGTCACGTTGAAGGCGCTAGTCGCCTGCATGCATCAGTCCACCGATCCATGTGTGAGTGTATATGGGTGTGTGGAGGGTGAGTGTTCTCACCAGGGGCAAGATGCAGAGTGCCATGAGATAGGGACGCATCAAGTCGGCCGTCTCCCACCCTGTTGGTTGGTAAGCACAGACAAACACAAATAAAGAGACAGACGCCTAGGTGAATGAATGACACGAGCTATGCTATGCTATGGGCGCGGCGCGGGGCGGGGCCGTCCGTACCAGTGTGGTCAAAGACGGGGAACATGGTAAACCCGCCCCGCACGTAGTCCTCTCTGTACATCCAGGCGAGTGCGTAGAAGTGGGGGAACTGCCACAGCGTCTGGATGGCAAACAGCACAAACGGCTCCGGCAAACAGAAAGCCGACATACCCTACACACACACACACACACACTCACAGGAGGAATATGCTTGTGTGCATCCATCATATATTGCAGGCGTGCCTACCGTACCTGTGCGGCGGTGCACCCCAGCAGTGGCGGTATGCTGCCGACCACTGCGCCTATGTGTGTGTTGTAGGGCGTCACCGTCTTGAGCGGCGTGTACACACACGAGTAGAGAAAAATGTTGCCAGCCGCCATCATGGCACACGTGGGGGTGGTGCCCATTGCAAGCAACGATACCCCACCCACAGCACACAGCGCTGCAAACTGGTGGGCTGACGACCTGACACACACACACACACACAAACCAATGTGTTGACACACACACGACATTACGCATCCATCCACACCTCCCTCCCCACCTGTCGATGGTGCCGTTGACGAGCGGCCTGTTGTGTGTGCGCCTCATTCGGGCGTCCCGGGGCGCCTCTATGAGCTGGTTGTAGGTGCTCGCCGCCGCCGACGATAGCCCCGTGCCGACAGTAAGGCTCATGGCCGCCACAAAACTTCCTCCGTCCACACACATGAGGGCGTAGCCTGGCAGTGTGCTCAAAGCGATCCAGGTGGTGAGCTTGCCCTTGCTCAAAGACCAGTAGGGCGCGACTCTGGCTTTGGTTCGCCTGAGTTGCTCGCTGATGACAGCCAGCCGCTCAAAGGCGGTCCACCGGACACGACGGCCTACGATGGCCTTGGCCGCAACACCTGCAAACAAAACAGGCAGACAGGACAGGGTTGATTTGACAGTGTCCGCGCACACGTCTGTCTGTCGCATTATTCTGCCTGTTGTTTGCTACCATCGGGGTCTTGAATCAAGAGCGATGAGGTCCGCGTGTGCCTCGACCCGCCATCGTCTGAGCGACCCGCACTGCTGGAGGCACACAACTGACGCGAGGAAGTCGTCAGCAGCCGCACAGAGGATCTGCCGAGTCTGGAGGCGTCCTGTGAGAAAGATGAAGGGCCCATCCTTGAGCTGCAGATCGATCTGCAGCATACGGCCGCCGATGAGGGCCGTATGCTGCAGATCGCCACGGTGACCATCTCTCGCCAAGCTCAGCACTGACAGATAGGCTGCTGGATCTTGAAGTCGGGTCGGCTTGTATTTGGGTCGCCGTCCAGCAGCCCAAATACAGCGCCCTCCTCTCTCCTGTGCCCTCACCTTCTTCAGAAAGACCCTCCTGTGCTGCGATTTTCGGGGGAGGGCTGAGAGCGGTTTCACGCAATGTCCTAAGCGGCCTGAGTCAGTTCATTCCGTGAAGCCGCTCTCGCTGAGGACTCACAGAAGGAGCCAGTTCCTCAAGATCCAGCGGTCATTGATGGAGGGGGTAAGAGAAGGGAGGAGAAAACGCCAACCACTGAATGCTTCCAGCTGTAGATCTGCCGTGCATTCATTCAATGGCATGCGTCTGTCGGTGCAGGTGCAAGGATGTGCGTGGCTACACGCGCTGATTGTTGCTGTGTTGGGCACGGTGCCGTTGCTGCTCCACACGGGTCATGCAATGATGAGGCCACCAAGGTACGCAACGCACGCAATACGGGAGGGAGTGGGTGTGTCGGGGTCAAGTGAATGTGTGTGGAGTTCATGTGCAGGGTGAGTGGTCTGGGCGGCGCCTTTTCGCTGCCGCACCTCTTTCGGAAACAAACCGAAGCAGAGTGAGCTGACCACAATTGACAATCGAGTGGATGGATCTTGCCTGCCATCAATCGTGTGTGTGTGTGTGTGTGTGGTGTGTGCAGCGACAGCCCACATCCGCTGCGGATGGAGGAGTGGAAGCTCAGAGTGAGAAGAGGCCTGTTTCGCCGCAGGTACGCATCACCTACCCTACCGATTGATTGACGTGGGTGGATCTACGTGAGTCTGTGTGCACATCACTTCACTCAGGTCAGAGATGCGGATCAATTTCCGCCGCGATGGCTCACTGCAGACGAGCGACGGACACAAGGGTGAGTGAGCCTGCAGCGGTTCACTCAGCCCAGGCCTTCACCCATTCAGCCATGCTTGCGTTTATTTCTGTTGCTGCATGGCATGCAACGCATTGTCAGGCGAGTGGCGTTTGGATAAGTTTGGCGTCATGTGGGAGTTTCTAGTCGACAACACCACACACCGATACATGGCGGAGGTGGGTAATCAAACAAACAACCAACGACTGATGTGTCTGTTCGGTCATGCCTGTCTGTCTGTCTGTCTGTGTGTGTCTGTGTGTGTGTTTGCCTATATCTCCCTGTCAGGTGCACTGGTACGTACACGCACACGCACAATAAGTACACGTAGCCATGGGTGGATCCATTTGTTTCTCGCGCGCTTCTGCAGGAACGTGTTTGGCAGCCAGCCGCGGATGTACAAGGGTGTTATCACTCGCGACCGCCGAGCACCTATAAGGGCGGATCTGTTTAGGCCGGTCATCGGGACTTTCACCGGCATCGGCTGCGGCACTGACACTGCCGACGTGTCATACAGAGACCGGACGTGACGTGACGTGACGCGACGAGAAAGGAGAGACAAGTCGGGATTGCGACACTCTTGTATCCTCACTGAGAACTTCTTTGGCCTCGTCACATTCCTTGCGTTTCCGAGCCTCTCCCTTCTTCTCTCGTACATCGGTGTGACAGCGCGGCAGTGTCGCCCAGTTGGCCTCGTCTCGTGGTGTGGGAGAAGTTGGGAAATTTCCATCGCAGCTGTAAATATGAAGAGCAGCCGGTCATAGATAGATTTCCACCAGCCATCGTGTATGAGTCATCAGGGACTCGCTGGCATCGAGCTTGTAATTGGCCCGGAAAAATGAAAAAAGAGCGAGCGAGACAGACAAAAGCAGGAGTGATTCACTGGCGGATGAGTGATGGAAAGCGAGGCTAAAAAGAGAAGCCCTCTCCTATAGCGGCTCACCAGAGCTAGAGAAAGGCCGGGCGGCCGCCTGCTTGTCTGGTCATGGTAGTCGACTCGTATACGCACATTTAAGCAGCGTCCCACTTATCCGACCCTCACAGTACTGGTGCGCACAAACAGACATGGAACGCACACAGATCTGCACTATCTAGATCCGTGACACGTATGGTATGCTCACATATGGTATGTCATTCTTGTGTGCACACGTCCCCTTTCTGCGTGCTGATCCGAGTCAAACGCACCGCCACCATCAAAAGGAAAAGGATCGAGACAGAGCGGCGTGAGAAACCATCATGCGATGGTGAGACTCATACTGGTTCATGCAGCTGTGTTCACACCCGAAAAACACGTGTAAGGAGACCGACAGACAGGCAGAGAAAAAGACAGATTGACAGCCACTAAACCCTAAACTTGCATGTTTCTGCTTTTCGTTCACACGGTTTAGGGTCTAGGGCTTAGGGTCT